CAAAATCTGGCGTTTCTCCTCTTAGACATCTTAGGAGCCTCCATCCTGATTTCCCTAATGACTGCCCTATCTTGTATCTCTATCAACAGTGTCTAGGTGTTAGAAAAGGCTAGTCTTCAGCAACCGAGTGAGATAGTGACCATGTCAGCATGACCAGAAACTAACTTAGCCACAGATGGGAACTTTTGTCATTATTCCATTCAGTTGCCATGAGGAAGTAGGCTGGGAACAGAACAGAAGTCCCCCTACAAACAGCCATCCACTCACATGCGGACAAAACTCCTTCCTGCCTATTGCTCCCATTCTAACTAGCATTACTTGAGGGCTCATTGGTCCCTAGATGGGGAACAACAAGCAGAAAGCAAAATTCTCACAGCATCCCAGACGGTCCATGAATGCTGCTAGGCACACAGGCATGCAGCAGCCTTCTCTCCCTGCTGCTCTCTTCCCCATTGTGTTTTGTGCCCACCAACACTACAGTCCAATGGCAGCACCTCTGATCAGTGTTCTCCCATCATCTGGAGCCCAGTGAGTGTGTGACACTCTAAGTGTAACTCTGTGACCAAGTGAAGGAGGTGAAGAGAATCACAGACACTGGAAATAACCGAGTCACACTGAAAAGCCAGCCCCTCCCCTTCCTGTCTGCAGCAGTTAGCCAGCGCTGCTATAACGAGACCAACACTGAAAAATGCTTTCACAATTCCAAAGGCTAGGACCGCAAGATCAAGATGCCAGTGGGTTTCGGTCCTTCTGAAAGCTGTAGGGAAGGACTTGTTAAAAATCTTTCTCCCTCTGTCTTAGAAATTACCATCTTCATGTGCGTGTGTTATTCCCTCTCCCTTCTTCCCTCCCTCCCTCCCCCCTCATATGTTTCCTTAAACTTCCCTTTTTATAAGGACACCACTGATATTGTACTAGGGCCAATCCTAATGACCTTGTTTTAACCTGACCACCTCTGCAAAGTCCCAGTCCACATAGGGATAAGTGCTTTGGTGGTAAGGGGAATGGGTGAGATACAAATAGAAGAGGGTGTACCCAATTCATCTCTGGTACTCTTTGGACTGTTTTGTCTTGCAGCATTTACAGGCATGGCATCCCTAAGAACTAGCCTTGAAACCAGGCCTTAGTTCTAGGATGAGAACCAGCAGCAGCTAGGTCTTTGGCCCTGAAGCATCATTTTTAGTTCTCTAAGCCTTGGTTTCTAAATTCAAAATGAAGGAAATAATTTGCACCTTGCTTACTCCGCCAAGCTACTGTGAGCATCTAATGAGACAGTAAATATGCCAGCATTGTGAAAAAAAAAATAAGTGTGCCCTGAATGGGATACAGCATCGCTGGGTCATGATTAGTAGAAGCAGTGAGAATAAAGGATCTGGAGCCTAGGAAGAGCCCCAGCCCCAGCCTGCGAGCTGAAGAAACCTGCTCCACTTAAAAAGTCATCCTTTTCATTTCTCCCTGGAGAAAACCCCACAGTGTTCCCTACTTGTGGAACAGTTCCCTGTTTGGATGAATTACAATTTTCATTCACTCCGCAAGCATCCCAACCCAACCTACATGCATCCTGCTACAGCCAAGCTCATTCCGGCTTGAGTTCCAGGGAACTGCTCACCCCATCCCTGACATTTCTGAATCCGCCCTTCCTTTAAGTCAGCCATCCTCTGGCCCAGCACTTGCCATGAGCAAGACACTGAACCTGGTAGGAGGGGCTCAGGGCTGGAAAAGGACATTCTGGATCTTCTGTTGCTCACAGTCCATAGCCCAAACGTTCCCAGGGTGCCAAACATCCCTCTCCTTAAGAAACATCCCTGTTCTGATACCTGTTTTTGTGCACATAGCATTGATTAAGTCTTTGCCCTCCTCAGACAGTGCCCTTACAAGCCAACTACAAATGACCTTAAACTTTGCTATGAACGGTCTACCTAAGCCAAGGCTCCCTTCATTCATTTTCCATGAGGCCTTTGGGGAGTCTGAGGGGTACTGACACTGATGAAGCCAAAGAGAGCAGCCTACTTGAAGCAAACCTCATATCCCCCATACCTTGAGGTTCAAAACTAACATCTGTGATTTCACTCTCCTGTCCATCTCAGAGACAAGCAAGGGGACAGGCTGGTGCTGGACGACCTCAAAAAGAAAGATCACGTTCTCTCTGTAGTGTTGTATTGTAGTCTCCCCTAATAGCCTCATGGGGTGTTTTGTTTTGTTTTGTTGGTTTTGGTTTTATTTAACTTGAATGTTTCCCCAAGCCCACATGACTACTTTTTGCTTCCTCCTTGGTCTACATATGATCAAGTATGTCTGACAATGCTCTTCATCCCCAGAGGGGCACTCACATTCCCCTGCCTCATCCACTTCTGTCCCTGCCGTGGGCTTCCATGTGTGGATTTGGTGAGTTCTATTTTGGCTCCACAAGTCTCTCAGAAGAGCATCCCAGATTTTGCGTGTGACAACCTAGCTACTCCTCACTTCAGCGGTCCTCCAGCTCACTTGTTCTCAGAGGGATCCCCATGGCTTCCCCCCACTTCTCAGCAAAGACTCCGCCAGAGAGCCCTCTCACTTAATAAATTTCTGCAGTGTGCTTATTAGCGCCTTGTAATGTAGCCGCCTAAATAATTAAGACTAACCCACACGTGTCAAATTAAATGAGCCAAATACATTGAGAAATTACCTCGTCCTCAATTTCTTTTATTAATCAGAGCTTTTTTAAAAAAAAATTATTTCCCTGCTCATTTACAAAAATCAAGTATAGTCAGAGAGACTCTTGCTTATAATAACTGTGTGAGTGTTCAGCCACCCCTCCACCACTCACTTGGGAGGGATCCTAGTACGGAACACATAAAATATAAGTTAGTTCGCATCGTCAAGACAGACACTGTGGACAACTAGATAAGACAGGTTGTTCATACTCCAATCTTTATAACTTCCCCTTATGTTCACCTGCGAGTGTGGGAAACTGCTCAGAAGAGAGAGGAAACATCAGCCACATCCTTTCAGCTTCTGCCCTCCTTCCTCAATGCACCCATAGAGTCCCTGCTAGGCTCAATCTAGTAGCCCACCCTCCCTCCTCCAGTGGAAGCCACCACTGATGTGCTTTGGGCAGGTGTAAGCCAATGATAAATATAATAGGAACCATCAACCATCGTGTCCTTCTGTGCCTGTCTTCCTAACAGTCAGGCTAAGTCTTCCTATTGGCAGCTCCTGGACTTTAGATGCAAGCTCAGGCAAAAAGCTTTTGGTAGCTGGAGCTAGGAGCCTCCTCACAGCGTGTGCGTCCGCTGGCCCCTCCGCACGCTGCATCCCTGCCTTTACAGGAAGTAAACATCAAAGGGGCTTTGATCCACACGGCCCTCGACAGGACAGGAGCCCCTGAAGAAAGGGCCAAGGCCTTGGATGGGAGAACTTAACGTGTCAGTTTGGGCGCGGGAGATATGAAGCTGTTTGAAGTGAGGGTGGTTTGGCTGCGCCTTCGGATGCGTGAGCGAGTGTGCAGGGGGAAGGCAGGGAAGGTGCCTTCAGGAACAGCACCCCTGGATCTGCCTCTCTGCTCTTCACTGATACTCAATAACTCCCTTTAAAGGATCAGGAGATCAAAGCTGGTGACCTCCCTGGGCTGTGGCATCCTACCACCACCTGCCAAGCTTTGTTTTTTCCTAGGACATGAGCCCCTACGCTTGAGTTATCTGTTCCCGGGGGTCCTACACCCTTTTTCATGCTGTTGTCTTCAGAGGCTGGACCTAAGCAGCAGCAGAGAGAGGCTGAGCATCATGAGCAGAGGCAGGAGGACTCATCCCACTCTTCCTAGTCTCTGACAAAGACACCTGCAGGTGGAAGGCCAAGGACACACCCAGGCCACAGATAGTGTGGCACGGCTCAGTAGAAGCCTCCTTCTCTGAGATTGTGGGTGGAAGCAGCCGTGTAGCAGGAATCCTGACAAGATTCTGTGGGGTGTGATTGCAGTCACATGCTCTCTAGGACAATATCAGGTGCCCATTTGCCCAGTTTAGGGCAGCAGTCACATTTGTTGGGTTTCCTAAGAAACAGGTGGGAATGAGGAGGCAAAAGCATCAAAGGCAGTCCCTCAACACTGTTGAGCCCCCCACCCTCCGTAGGTGTCATGTGAACATCAATGGCTTATCCACATAGGGCAAAGCATTGCCTTGGAGTCAAAAATTAAAGTGGATGTGAAATTGTTTCAGAATTCTTAAAGCACCCAAGACAAGTCAGGACTAAAAACCAAATACCAGAGTGTTTAGCTTGCCTTCTAGTGAAGCAGATGAACTCAAGTCCAACACTCACACATAACAGAAGCTGGTTTATAAAATACTCTGCAAAAGACAGCACCCGGGATTTGCTACCCAAAGTTGCTCTTCTTGTTCTTCTGGAAATGTCAACCAGGCTATGGGTCCTCGTGTCTCTCAATACTGCTGATCCCTGTGTTCTACGTCTATACTTCCCAAGTTCTAGATGCTGCTGCTGAACAGTGCCTGCCCATAGAATCAGCAACTGCAGAAACTCACCCTTCCAGAAGGTTGAACACACCCCGCCTATCCCTCGTCTCTGTCTTCTCCACTCTCTCTTTTCATCTTGAGTCACCCACTGTGTCTGGTCATGCTATTCCACTCTGGACACTACCAGAGGCTCCTGTTCAGCTAGTCTGAGCACAGTTTCAAAGTGACTTAGTCATGGTCCCCAACCCTAGACTATAAAAATCCCATATAACCCAGAGTAATAGTTATGAGAATGGATTCTAGAGTCTAATTTCAAAATCCTGACTCCGGCACCTGCTTACTTCATGCATTTGTAAATGAAGACTGTAGAAAATGAAAAGCACAATGCTCTGTGCCTTACACGCTATTGTGGGCATCAAGCAAAGCTACAGACTCTAAGTTATGCCTGGGACATAAGTGCTGTAGAAACATTTATTAATTATCCACAGCCTCCTGCTAAGAAGTCTCCTCACACCTGACCCATTCCCAACTCACCTACCTATATTTTCCTTCCAGAGCTTGGCCTCCAGAAGAGAGGATGCTGTCTGGTGCTGGGCTACATGGCCAAGGACAAGTTTCGGAGAATGAATGAAGGTCAGTGAGAACCCCTCCTCCCGTTGTGGGTCAGACAATGAGGGGAGGGTGTGCCTACCACTGTGGTGCAGAGGAACCTGCCCAAGGAACACACGACAGCTCAGGAGGGAGAGTGGGAGGCTCAGCTTGATCTTCATGGTGCTGTTGACACAAGGAGGTAGCTGTTGCCAAAGCACTGGATGATAATGCATGCTTTTCTTTTGCTATCTCCTCTTCCCCCATGTGTCCCTTACTTTTCTTTCTTTCACTTCCCTGCCTTTGCTCTTCTACCCTCTTACCCAGCCCAGCAAAATCTGTTTCCATCATTCTATTTCAAAGTTCTCCCTCCTTCTCTTGAATTGACAGCACCTTATAGGGCACTCAGGAGAATCATAAAGCATAAGACAACATTATACTCTAAGAGCCTGCCCTTAGAAACTTTCCCAACTCCACAGACTGAATTCTGTCTCCCACCCAGGGGTGGTTCTGCCTTTCTCAAGCATGGGGTCTTTCCTGAGGATCACTTGTGTCCCAGAGAACTTGGGAGAATGTATTGACTTTGACATGGGGGCTGGTATGAGAGAATATCACTGTCACTTATGGGTCTGCTGTAATAAAAAGCCAATCCTCTCCATCCCCAGCCATCTGTCTCCATGCAACTAATAACCCTCTTCATCAGATGCCACAGACTGTTTGTCAGGGTTCAAAGGCAGCTAGACAATGGCTGGGGATACCATTTATTCATTAAAGTCAGACAAATGAAGCCTTGGCTTCTTCCCACCAGCCCAGCTTGCCATGAGCTGCTCCCTCCCCCCATCAGGGCTCATAGCTCCAGTTGCTCCCTTCCCACTCCAAGCTAAAGAGAGGCAAAACACCCCTATGATCTGGCTGTGAGTTACACGGTACACAGCCCAGTGCCTCCTCCCTACATTCAACAGCTGCCTCTCCTTCCAAGTAGCCATCCATGACACTCATGCCTCTGTATGTGGCCCCGACCAGAACCCTGGCTGGCTGTTTTCCCGTCACCAAAACCCATCAAGATGACAGTCTGCTAGGAGTTAGGTCCTAGTAAGTAAGTCCAGGAAGCTCGTATCTCTTACATTCACTGCCTGCCTGTTCAAGAAAACAGCAGCTTTCAGAAGCCACTTATCATCTACAGGAGCCCCATGGCTGAGCACAGCCAGGGGTTTGGGCTGCATACTTGTGGCAAGGCCATCAGTCTTTTTCATTGACTTTTTTTTCTCTCATCACCCTCTCTGTTCTCAACACAGCCGTCCAGAAGAGAGTGGTAGGCAGTAACTTCTAATTTGTGGGAACTGACAGCGTGGCTCTGTCCGTGGTGCTGAATAGACATGCTCTCTTGCTGAAGATGCTCATTAAAGAAACAGGCTGGGCTCTTAGGGATTGGGAGAGAAAACAAAAGGGAACTGGGCTGCCCTTCAATCTTGAAGCTCCAGGTGTCTGACCCCAGCTTCTAAGTGGCCAAGAATCAAGGGGTGTTGAGCAATCTGAGCCAAGATGTGTGATGAGTCTCAACTAACAAAATGGAGACAGCTAGGGGAGCCCCACAGTGTGGTAGAACAGTCATGTGCAGTCTATTAGCTCTGATTCTGGAAGAGTCCAAGTCACAATGGGAAGAGGAGCGAGGTGTCTGCTTCCAGGTCAGACAGACTTGCTTTGCCAAGTGCCAGACAGCACATTTTCTCTCTTCTAAAGCTCATGTGCTCTTTAAGGAAGCAAATGAGAGGCATAGTCTGCTTGGGTTTCTCAAACCTCAACCCATTTTCAGATAAGAAAGGCATCCACAAACACAGAGACTGTTTATGGTTTATAATTATCTCTAAGCAATATTCAAAAATAATTATAACCCCTACATGTTAATAATTGAACAGGAATAGCAGCCATGACATCAATCAAGCAACAGACTTCTTGGCCCATGCCAGACAACACACCTCGGTATGATTTGAACAATTGGTAAAATAGAAAAAAAAAATTCTCCAAGTGGCCAGAATTCAAGAGCTATTGGTATAATTATCTGCTTCTTCCATTAGAGATAAAGTTGGAATCTCTTTATTTCCATTTCAGAATAAATATAAAAGCTTTCCTTGTGCTGTATTAAAGCATATTTGTTTTGTTTAACAGCATCTAATAAGATGTCTGTCACCCAGGGAGAAGCAATCCCCTATTTCATTTGTTTCCCTGTTAATTTCATATCTTCTTGTATTTTATTTTTTTCTCCACTACCACCCCCTCCTCCTCACTACATTCCAAAAAATAACAAACATTTGAGAAGGAGCAAAAGGAAAATAATGAATGAACAAGAGCCTTAGAGATCTGGGGCTTGTCGTATGTTAGAGTAATCGCAATTGGTGCTGTTAAACTATACAAAGCAATAAAAAGAAAATGCTATTCAAAAATCATTTAAGGAAGCATCTGATAGTCAATGAGAGAGTTGCTCTATTTGGGAGTGCTTAATAGCTTCTTGAAGAAAATCTGTAGCATTTGCAGGAATGGGGGTGGCTGGTAAATGTTGGGGGAAAGAGTTCTTTCCCATTTGGACTCAACAATCTGGGTATCCAACAGGGCAATAGGCAGAAATAAGCTAAGGGCAGACAAGGATGAAGGGATACAGATGGGCGGGGCCCAGGATGTCGGGGTTGTCTGATATCATTGTCTCCCGGTGATTAAGAACTCAGGACTTGAAAGGAGCTGTTGGAAAGAGGTTGTTTATTTCTTCATCAAACATTCATTGAAAACCATAAAAATGATACCAATTTTTCATAATAAGTGTCAGGCTCCATTGTAAGCACCGGAGCTGTTAAACTGAATAAGACACAGTCCCTGCCCACAAGGACCTCACAGGAAAATCACAAGGCATGTCTCACTAAAAAAACAGCTCCATGAAAAGCACCTGCTCACGCCTCACCTAACCCAGAGCTCACACACACACACACACACACACACACACACACACACACACACACCGTATGTGCCACCTGGTCAACCAGTCTGGTCTCTTTGCCGTGTGTATCACAGTTTGGGATGGCCCATCAACTTTCAGCTTGTGTGCTGTGGGGCCCCAGCTGTGGAAGAAGGAAGACCTCACCTCCATCTTTTCACATTCTTGGAACATAGTTCAGTGACTCACACATAGGGAAGAGTCGCTTACGATAATTCCTTAGGTAAATGTTTAATCAGAGGCTGTGAGTCACAATAGAAGAATATCGAAAGTCTCCCGCAAGTATCAGCTGGGTCTTAAGAAGGAACAGCTTCTTATATAATGTATCTCTAGGCTGACCATGCTTTAATACCAAAACTTGGAAAGCAGGGGCAAGCAGATCTCTGTGAGCTCTAGACCAGTGTGGCCTACATAGCAGGTTCCAGGCCAGTCAGAAACATAGTGGGACCCTGACCGGGGTTGTCTTTCCATCTTCAGCAGCACCCCAAGTCTCAGGTTCCCCTTAGTTACAGGTTTACAGGCCCCTCAGAACCCAGGCAGAGTGGAAGGGAAGGTCAGAAAGATTGCCCTTGCCCATTGTGAAACAAAGGCAGAACATTATAGGGAGATCTAGATGGAGGGGCACAAGCCCCTTAGGAACCAGAGAGTTCTGTGAGGCCCATTCTGAGAAGGATAAACAAGGAAGAGTGTGATTAAAGGAGGGAGGGGGCTAGGAATCCTCGGCCCCCTTTCTGACTGGCCCCTAATCCTGTACTGGAGTGGGCCTGCCCAGGTAAGTTTCCTACATAGAGGTGCCCTCTTGAGCTGCAGAGGGAGGCAGACAACAAACTTCCGGGATGTTCAGAATCCCAGTGTGTGACTGCTTCTCTCAGTTCAGTGAAGGTAAAATAGCAATGCCTCCCAATGCTGGAGCCACACCGTGATCAGTATAACACCTCAGACTGACTGAAAACTCTGACCTCCTGGAGCACCCAAGAAAGATGAAGCCAGATGCTTGGCCCCCGAGCCAGTTCATAGCTCCTGAGTACAGAACAACACGGATCCCCTAATAGAGACATTCAAAAAGAGAGCTGTCCCATAGTTGGAGCAAGTATGTGAAGCTTATCCTGACAAGTCCCTGGACACCTAGAGTTCAGCCCTCAAACACAAAGTTGAACAGTTTGGATAAGGTCGCCTGTAAGGCTTTATATCAGTTTGCTTTTCTATTGCTGTGATAAAACACTGAACAAAAATAACATGGGAAGGAAAAGGTTTATTTGCCTGACAGTTGAGGGAAGGCAGGGCAGGAGCTCAGGGAAGGAACCTGGAGGCAGGAACATCAAAGAGGAGCGCTGCTTACTGGTTCATCCCTTGCGGCTTGCTCAGCCTGTTTTCCTATGTATAAGAAATCCCCAGGACCACCTGCCCAGGGTGGCACTGCCCATAGTGAGCTGGGCCCTCCCACACTAATGGTCATGAAAATGCCCCCACAGCCTTGCCCACAGACCAAGCGGGCAGAGCAATTCTTCATTTGAAGTTTCCCCTTCCCAGATGATTCTAGCACATGTCAAGCGGACAGAAACCAAGCAACAAAGTCTCTAAATTGTGGTGATGAGAACTCTAAATTGCCTCTCAACTCACTGCCCACACCTTTCTCTCTCTCTCTCTCTCCCATCCCATAATGTTGCATGCTCTGGTGACCAAGATGGATCCCTGGTCACCAAAGGAGTCGGTTTTAAGTAGAGTGGTTTTACCAATTGCCCCAAAGCACTTCAGCGTTTCTTTCTCCTGCCTCTCCTTGTAGAGAAGATTGAAGTCCTGTTGACTTCGATGCCACCCGACCTGTAAACAAACTGTGCTTCTATCAGTGCAAAGAGGAGACAGGAGTAGGCAGGCTGGGACTTCCGCCCAAAGCCCAGAACCTAGGAAGGGCAAGACCCACTTGTGGGGGCAGCTCTTGCCACAAGACTCCTTGAGGCCAGTTTGGCTCATGCAGAGGATGCACAATCATTTTCCTGAGAGCATTCCTGAGGTGCCTGCCATGGTCCCCAGGACATTGGCTAATACTGTCATTTTGTTAGTT